TTACCATCCTCAGGGAGGTAAGAGAGCAGGGACCATCCGTCCCTAGGCTTCTCCAGCAAAGCCAGGAAAGTCAGCATCTCTCCCCTAACTTATCAGTGCCTAGGGCACCTCCTCACACCGGACCACTCTGATGACCAGCTGGAAGCATCATGGGCCTACTGGACAGGAAGCCCTGGCCCAGAGCAATGAAGAGAGTCAGTCAGTCCTCAAGTCCAGCCCAGGAAGCTCAAGTTCAAACCCAGGAAGTAGTGTCAGGTATCACCGACACCCTCTGCACAGTGTGACCGTGTTTAACAATTACAGAATCATAGACTCTTGCAGCCAGGGGGTGAGGAAACTTCAAAATCTTTGAGGTCAGGATCTGACACCCTGTGGTATTCCTGTGGACAGCAGACGGGGTGTGCATAATGCTGTGTGCATCAGTAACATGTGACAAGCCATGACTACATGCCTGCTACCATTCTTATTTAATCCTCTCACCAACGTGATGACAGCTCATGTCATTGAGCCTTAGGAAGTATCTGGGGCAATTGGTACATTTTCTTCCAGTCTCGTATCGCATTTGATTCTCATAAAAACGGCGTGAAAAAGGCAGGAAGTAGCAGAGGCCCCACTGCGGCCCTCCCACCGCCCCCACCCCTTGTGGCGAGCCCAGCTCCTCTGAGTCTAAATCAGATTGAGATGTGTTGCACAGGAGACAGCACACTGCTGCAGATGAGTGAGCAATGAAGACATGAAACATTGTACTGAATTATTTTCTCGGATCCTCCTCCTTCCTCCCCAGCAGGTTATTTGCCTAATGAGTCTCAGAGCTCATAAGTGTTTCTAGGCCATCCAGCCATCCCATCTACTTGCAGTTGAGTAAGCTGTGTATTTTTCTAATGGACTCTAATGCCAGCTCCTGAAGTTTATAGAATAAAAGTGTGATCAGCTTTAATGACCAATTTATGCGTGGTAATATTTGGATGTGGCTGGCTAAGCCCATCGGGGCTTCTGGAAAGGCTGTAAATTGAAGCTGGTAACTGTACTTCCTCACTTCATTGACCGGTTCCTCTCACCTCCAGCTCAGAAGCAACATGCTCCGTCATTAGCACCACAGCATCCATCCCCAAGCTGCCCGCCCCCCCATGTGTGCTCACACATTTTATAGCCCAAATAAATGCAACAGAACTATTACGCAAACATTTATTGCCTCGCCTCTATCCTTCTCATTGAGATGACTTTTTAATATTTCCTCCCTGTGTGAACTGAATATTTCTCTTCCATATTTTGTAATTGCTCTGGGTTAATCCCTTATAGCCTTGGATTACAGCTTTAAACTTTCTGCTGGGCCAAATTTAAATCATTTTATTTTCCTTAACAGCGACTGAGCATTCTTATTACAATGAAATGGTCCTATTGCTACTTTTATCAACTTGCCTTTATCAATTCCACTAGTAGCTCACTACCAAAGCACTGTGTAATTACTTAACAGATCTAGGTTTCAGAACTAGTGGACCTAGAGCCTTGGTTATAAACCAGGGATACCAGACCCTGTTATTTTTAGTTACCGAGTACTCACTGAGCACTTCCTACGCGCCTAGCACTGTCCTAAACTATGCTGTGAAAGTAACTAAGTGGGAACAAGTAGCACGTGAGTCCCTCCTTTGTCCCTGGCAGTCACTGATGCTCATGCAAAGGAACTGATGCAGACACGCAGACACATGCAGTAAGTGCTCCCAGGACTGAGAGAGAGAGAGAGAGAGCACCCTTCCTGCAGAGGGGACCCAGGGAAGCTTCATCCATTCGCCCAAAGGGTGGGCAGTCTTTTGTGTGGTGGACCTGGAATGAGCCTTTCTTGGGAGAGGACCCTCAGAAAGAGAAGTTGGAAGACCCAGAGTCTCACGGCAGTCAGTGAGAAGTTCTGTGCTACATGGGGGGTGGGGGGGGGGCGGTCACCAGAGGACTGTGGCTCTCAGACCACAGGGCCTGGACAGATATTAATTGGTATGCTCTCTTCACATCATTAACAATAAGATCTGATTTCATTTTTTTTCCCCAAAAGCCATAAAAGTGTTGTATTTGAATGGAATGTCTTTTTAATCTAATTCCTATGTCTGTCAAAATGGGCTGCAAACTTGAAGGTTTGTGGAGGAAGGTGGTTCCTTTTTTTTAATTTATTTTAAATTTTTTATTTAAATTCAACTTAATTATTATTAGTTTCAGAGTTAGAATTTAGGGATTCTTCAGTTGCATATAACATCCAGTGCTCATTACTTCACATGTCCTTCTTCATGCCCATCACCCCATTACCATGTCCCCCCACCCACCTTCCTCCAGGGACCCTCAGTTTGTTTCCTATGGTTAAGAGTCTCCTATGGTTGGTCTCCCTCTCCATGTTTGTTTTTTTTGTTTTTCTGAAGGTTTTAAGTCCCCTACAGCCTGAGCTCTTTGGATTGCCCCTCACTCTTCATTCTGTGGTTTTCTTTGAAGCCTTTTATGTGGCACTGCTTGCAACTAAGTCACCCCATATCACATCTGCATTTCTTTCAAGAGAGCACCCATCCCCCAAAGGTTCCATCCTTTGGATTGGTGGACTAGGAGAACCACTGGTGTGTTAACTGGATCCCTCGAGGCTTAGGAATACAAGAGAAAGGCCACACAACAGGAGAACCCTGTGTCCTTCTTGTAGCCCACCCATCAAGAGGGTGGCTATGAACACAAAGTGAGCTGTGTGGGGGGAGACATGTTTATTTTGCAGCATAATAAACATGCTACTGGATCTTCAGACAGTCCACCACAGAGACCACCTTTTCTCAGGGTATCCGCACACATGGCTTGACACTGGGCCTCTCAGGGGTCACCCAGCTGCTCTGAAAGGTGTGTGAGGTGGGTCCTGGAGACCCAACAAGTAATAAGAGAGGCTGAGGGGTGGAAGGAGTCCATCTGGTTCTATCTCTGTCCGGCATATAAATTGCTTCTCCATCCTCACCTTCTCCTTACAGAGAATTGACAGCTTCCCAAGTCAGCCATTTCCATTTTCTGACAACCTTGTGAAGGAGTTCTTCCTTATGCTGGATCGTAACTTCTCCTTGGCACTAGAGCCCTGACAAAACACTGATAAATTCAGTCAAGCACTCATGGATATTGAGTAATTGTCAACACTTCTAAGAGGGGGTTCCTGATAAACCCTTCCCAGATCAATGAAATATGAAACAAGTTCCCAGGCAAATGAACCGTTTGAGCGGTTACATCAAATTATTTTTATTAACCTAGACATCCCCCAAAAAATGATTTTTTTCTTCCTTTTAAAATAATTGATATTTTAGCCTTTCTTCCAAAAAAGCATTGCTAGTGGACCCGTGTGTCTGTTGAGGTTAGCACATGAAAATAAAACCCTATAGCACCCAGTGTGGCGAACACCGTTGTCCTGCCTCCGCTCTGGAGTAGGGTGCCTACGGCTTCTGCTCGCCCCGCAGCTATTCCAGCTCATCAAGAAGAGAAGCCGGGACAAGCCTCTGCTCCACTCATCCTGAAATCTCATCCAGCTAATCTCACACCTCAGAGTGGTGTATGACTTCACTGTCAGAGTGTGGCCCACAGAATCCCAGGCCTGCCCTCCCTGCTTGCATCGGAAGCCATATGTGTTCTTTACGTTGACAAGTGGAAGGGAGACTGAAGGCACAGGAGCAGGGCTCATCCCCGACTTCTGTTAGGAATGGGGCAGAGCACTCATGCTCCACAACCACCACTCACTTCTTTCTTTTATCAAATTAAGGAATTCACTTGTAGTGAAAATATCTACACGATCATCCTCGTCGCCCTAAATCTCCACTCTGCACTTTAGCTTTCTTTTATCAATAACCTGGCTGCTCTGACCTCTTTGTTCACATTCTCCTAGCACCAGGATGCTTGTGAGTCCCCAGTGCTCCTGGGCCATCGGGACACCTCTATGCAAGGATGTGCTGAAGGACATAACCAATGGCGTGGGAAAATGGGAAAGTTCAGATGATCTGTTGGGGTGTCAACAGGGAAGACAGTGATGTAGTAGCATCGTATGGTGACAGGTGGTAGCCATACTTTGTGGTGAGCATAACAGAAGATACGGAAAAGTTGAACCATTATGTTGTACGCCTTAAACCAATGTAAGATGCTGTGTCAACTCTACTCCAATAAAAAAATAAAATAGATGGGGCACCTGAGTGGCTCAGTCAGTTAAGTATCTGGCTCTTGATTTCAGCTCAGGTCATGATCTCAGGGTTGTGAGATCGAGCCCCGTGTCAGGCTTCACACTCAGTGGGAAGTCTGTTTGAGGATTCTCTCTCTCCCTCTCCCTCTGCCCCTCCCCACAGAGCTCTCACTCTCTCTCTCTCTCTAAAATCAGTAATTCAAGAAGTCATTTTTTAAAACAGAATGGAATATTAAAGCAAGATGGGAAAGCCACCCGAGAGTCTTGGTGCTGCAGCACCCACCTAGGACAGTGGGAACATTTGCGCACTAACAGCAACACTCAGTTTAGGAGGACACTGAGAAAGGAAAGGTCAGGAAAGACAAGAGGCGATGTAACCCCCTGTTCTAGCCCAACACGGCCAAGACCCATCTCTGCTTTATGCTGAAAGCCTTTGCTTACAGAAGAACCAGTTCTAAAGGAAGGGGGTCCTGTTCGGTGAGGAGCTGCCGTCACCCACATCTAGACGGCTCTCCCTCTGGGCCATCAGCTGCGGAACCTGGTGGACGGTCTCAGCTAGCCCAGGACAGCCCAGGAAACCAAGGCCATGGCTGCTGGTGCCATTTCAAAGGCGAGGAAGAATGAGCGTGGATCTCTAACTTGTCCTCACAAGGAAGTGGGAATTGGAGGGTGTGGGGAGTCGGCAAAGGCCAACCTGGTGACGACCTTTGGCCTCACGATGCAGTTTCCCACAAGAACAGCCCTGGGATGGCAGAGGCTGGCATTTAAATTTTAGAAATGCTTTTTCTGACCTTTCGCAGCTAATGGAGTCTGTGTCTTTCTCTGCCTTCAGGTCCACATCGGCCAAATGTATTCGACTGACAAGCTGATCATTGAGAATCAAGAGAAGCCTAGGACCTAGGGAGCCGGGGCCAGCCGCCACGGGCAGCGGAGGGCTGCCTTCAGCATCCATCCTGCGCTTGGTCGGCTCCCCACGGACCGCAGGTGGCCTCCTCCAACGATAGCCTCTCGCTCCGCCTGCCCTCGAGGAGCTGATAAACTGAGTCCAGTGTCCATTCTTTGGCAGCCTTAGTGAAAAGGGTGGCTGTGTCTCCTTGATTCAGGTGTTAGAATGAAGAAGTGGCGCTCACTCGGAACACTGCTGTGTATTGTCGCGTCTCCTCTCCTCTGTATCTCTCCACCACTTGTATAGAGCGCCTCCGCCCTCTGTTTCTTGGTTGACAATAAACAGAATTGTCCCCCTGAGCCTTCTTGCACCAGAATGTTCCCGATAATGAAGGCATTCCCACTTGCCACTGAGGCAGGTCCTGCAGAGGGTGGTGGGGACCCAGCAGGACGGTCCCCTTGGTGAAGGCAAGTCTAGGCACCCAAGATTTGGAGGGCTGCGGGGAAGAGGGCAGGGCCAGAGGGGTAGAGGGTGCATCCTGCAGTTTATCCCCTGTGTGACCGCAGAGGGGCCCGCATGTGGCTTCACGCGTGGGCACAGGATCCTGCCAGCCTGCTGCTCAGAGTGTGGGCCCCACCCGGGCACTTGCTGGAGATGCAGAATCTCAAGCCCTACCCCCAACATTTTGAATCAGAATCCTAAGTCTAACACATCCAGGTGACCTTAGTGCCCGCCAAGGTTGGGGAAGGGCCACTCGGCACTGCTTCCCAGAGTTAGCTTCCCGGACAGAGCCATGAGCACTTGAGAATTGGAGAGTTTTTTTGTTTGTTTGTTTGTTTTTTTTTAAGATTTTATTTATTTATTCATGAGAATACACAGAGAGGAGAGAGAGAGGCAGAGGGAGAAGCAGGCTCCATGTGGGGAGCCCGACGCGGGACTCGATCCTAGGTCTCCAGGATCACGCCCTGGGCCAAAGACGGCGCTAAACCACTGAGCCACCCGGGCAGCCCAGAGTTTTTTTAAAAGCAGTTTCTTGGCACATCCCTCCCCTCAGTTCTGACTTAGTAAGTAAGAGGTGAGACACGATCTTTTCACATTCTCCTAGCACCAGGATATTTACATGCTTAAAAGTCCCCTCATGTCTTTAATGTCTAGTTGGTTTGCAGGAGCTCTGCTTTTTGAGGATGTTGCAGGTAATAAAGATATTTGTGTGCATTTAGCCGTGGAAACACATCAGCTAAAAATAGAAGAAGAAGGTATTAAATAACTTGATATCTGGGGGTTTTATAGGGAACCCAGATACTATCCGAGTGACTTGTTTACCTTTGTGAACAGCACTAAGTGAATCATTACTTAGGTGTTTAGGTTTGGAACAGGCTCATATAAATATTTACAGGCCTAACACTGCTGTGACAGTGTCACCGAACCTGCCACCCATAGACTGTAGATTTTGTTGTAACAGTGCATCCAAAATAGATTAAAAGTGTACTCCTTCTGTTTGGCAGTACAACTTAGGACTTCAGAAAGCTTTTGCCCATGGATAGTCTTGTACACCTGAACCTTGGTAGGTCTTGGACAGCTCCCTCCAGCCCCAAACAATGTTAGGGTGACAGCGTGGAGCAGACTGTGGGTGTAGGTGATGTGGGAAATGTGCTCTCTCCCTTCAGCTGACTATCGTGGGACAAAGTGGCCCACCCTGGGACGTGCGGCTCTGGGTCACTTTTCCACTCTGCATCGGTAGGATATATGGGCATTCAGCAACAAGGGCTAGCTAATGGATGTCACCTCTGATTTATACTTAATTAAAGCTGCTGCTACTTGGAAACCTATCTAGGGTTGAACCTCTCCCCTAGAAGTGTCAAGTTCCTAGCAGGGCATCCACTCCAGAGGAGCTATCCCCCACCCCCAGATTTGACTGACAGAGGCAGTGGGCCAAGCAAACCTACCTTGTTCTGCAGGTCTAACAGCAGGTTGCTTTTATGCTAATTAAAGCCCATGAATGGGTTTGAACATGCCCAGAGCCTTAAACGGAGCTAATTTTTGTGACTCAGATAAGAATAACTATGCATTAGGAATATATGGAAAGAGGGATCCCTGGGTGGCGCAGCGGTTTAGCGCCTGCCTTTGACCCAGGGCGCGATCCTGGAGACCCGGGATCGAATCCCACGTCGGGGTCCCGGTGCATGGAGCCTGCTTCTCCCTCTGCCTGTGTCTCTGCCTCTCTCTCTCTCTCTCTCTCTCTCTCTCTATCATAAATAAATAAAAATTAAAAAAAAAAGGAATATATGGAAAGATATGCAAGAAGCCTGTCCCACAGAATCCACAGATAGGGGGCCTGACCCTGTCTTCCAGATCCAGGGGAGGCGGGCAGAGCCTTGCACTGGGTGCTCCTCAGCTCAGAGTACCAGAGTGGACTTAGGGCTTTGAATAAAGTGACACACCCAGAGTAGTGATCTCTGTTTCTAGAGTTGAGCGTTCCCCATGCTTGAGTGGACCCCCACATCACACTCAGCGTCACAGACCTCTGCTGTGCTCAGCTGTTGTGAAGAGGGGCTCAGGCTGGGGTCTGCTGATCACTTTCCCGTGTCAGCATTTAGCAAATGAGAAATGCCACTACAAAACAAAACCATTGGCCAAGCACAGCGATCCTCTAGACCTTCAGAGATAACACTCGGCGGGGCTGGCTATCATGCTTTAATACCTGGGAAACCTTACTTGACCAAGTGCATGGCTGTGTTCTGATGGCTGTGGGTCTCTGGATCGTGGAACTGAAAGAATATCGTGATCTGAGTAGAGCTGGCTTCACATCTACTCCGCCCTGCCACCAGCAGCAGTTCCTTTCACTACCTTCATCCATAGCTTCATCCAACATCTCCAGCCCCTGAATACAACCAACAGTGCAACCAAGCATTCGGGAGCAAAGGGGCCAAGGGGAACGGCTACTGAGATGACAAAATGTCAGAGCTGACTGGCATTAGAGCCTACCTGGTCCAACCCCCAGATCTGCAGGTGTGAAAACCAAGATGCTGAGCATCCCTGGGTCATCTGCAGACCTTTCCCTGCCATCCCTAATGCTGGTCTTTTATTCATTCATTGAGCACTGACTGTGAGTCAGCTGGTGCCAGGTGCGGGGGAGACCAGTGAACAACACAGCCCCTGCCTTTGCAGAGCTTGCAGTCCAGCAGAGGAACTGGATGAGAAAGGACATGTCTGAGGAGTGTTACAAAGGGTGAAATAAAGGTCCTCTAGGAGCTGATGGGGAGTATCTGGAAAGCCCTCCCTGAGGGAAGGGAGATTTAAATTGAAGATTAAATGAGGACTGGACTTGGGGGGATCCCTGGGTGGCTCAGCGGTTTCACGCCTGCCTTTGGCCCAGGGCATGATCCTGGAGCCCCGGGATCGAGTCCCGTGTTGGGCTCCCGGCATGGAGCCTGCTTCTCTCTCTGCCTCTCTCTCTCTCTCTCTCTCTGTCTCTCTCTCTATGTCTATCATAAATAAATAAAAATAAATCTAAATAAATAAATAAATAAGGACTTGGCCGGACCAAGGGTGGGGAGAGGAGCTCTCTAGGCAGGAGGAACAGCATATGCAAAGCCTGAATGAGGGAGCAGGGTGGCGGGAAGCACCATGCAAGAAACTAAAGGCAGACCAGGATGGCTGGCAAGCAAGGATGAGTCAAAAGGCAGGACCCGCACTGTGGAGGGCCCAGGGAGCCTTGGCCTCAGGCCCTAAGAAGCTATTGAAGTTTTTCAGCAGGATAAAGTTTGTAGAGGGGTGACAGATTAGGAGAGGTACAGGGAAACCAACTTTAATGGGAGGTGGAGGAAGGCTTAGACTGGACACTAGTCCAGGTAAGAGATGGTGGTGACTTCACCTAGGACCATGATCGTTGCGAAGTAGAGTCAACATCACCCTGAGAAGAACTTGCTTTGGCTCAGCCGCTCTTCCCAAGGTGAGTGAGAGACATGTGGAGCAGAGGCGCCCAGCTGAGCCTCCCAGCCAAGTCTCGCTGAGATGGGTCAACTACAGCCAACCCTCAGGCCTATGATACAGAACAAATTACTGTTTTAGGCACAAAGTTTGTGGGTAGCTATGCAGCAATGACTAATACAGAGAGCTAGTACTGTAATTTATCTCTTTTTCAGGGCCACATAGCAAACCAAAGAGTAGGTAGGCAAACTTAATAAAACTGTGGGTCTCCTGTGGAGAGCCGTTTCCACAGTACCTGCAGAGTACAGATGTCATGTGTCTTAAAGACAAAAGAGCTTGCCAACGACTGGACCCCGTTAGGGTATACATTAAAAAAAAAAAAAAAAAAAAAAAACAGGACCAAAAAGAAGAAAGAAAAAAATAAATATATAGTCAACAGGACTTGGTAATTGATTGGATGTGAAGTATAGAGAGGGAGTCCAGGAGGGGTTCCAAGGCCTTGTGTTTGGGGCCTGGGTGACTGAGCAGAGGTTAGGCCACCAGCTGAGATAAGACCGGAGTAGGCACTGTCTGAAGCTTTCTCCTCCTGCCAGGTTCAAACAGAAAGACTAGCATCTACAAATGTGTGTCTTACTTCCAAAGGTTGAAAATATTATTCTGGTTTTTTTCAAACAAACAAACAAAAAATCCACTAGAAGGAAACAATTTAATAAAAGACCCTTATAAAGAAACTTTACCCATAGCTCTCTGTAAGACAAATACACTCCTTCTCCATGTAATGCCTGTAGATACGTATTGTCTCTGAGGACAGGAGGAGTAGGAGGAAATTTTTCTATATTTTGTAAAAGGTGATATAAGATTTTCAAATAAGGCGAAGGAAGGTTGGCCTACACATTCTAAGACTATAGTTCTGAGAACACAACTAAAATGCCCAGTAGAATATCAACAAGTATACAGGAAGTGCACCAACACATTTTATAACAGAACGAGCTGCTTTCGTTTGTTTGGTACTTCGGCAAACTGTTGGTAACTTTCTAGATTGGCGGCTATCACACGTACTGAGGCCAGGCTGTAAATAGAGCAGCAGCTGAAGAAATGATAAGCACTCAGAATGAAGGAGAACGCATTTCCGATGCCAAGAATGATGTTCCCTGAGTTGGGAACTCTTCTTCTGAGCCTACCCAAGGTCACGAACAAGAAGTTCTTTTGTTAAATATGGTCAGAACCCAGATGACCTTTTATTTTGTTTTGTTTTGCTTTTTAAGGGAGAGAGAGCAAGAGGAGGAGCAGAGGGAGGGGGAGAGGGAATCCCAAGCAGACTCAATGCTGAGCACAGAGTCGGACGCAAGGCTCAATCCTGAGATCATGACCTGAGCCAAAATCAAGAGTTGGTTGCTCAACCGACTCCGCCACCCAGGAGCCCCTGGATGACCAGTTCTTGACTAAAGATAATCATATGAACCGAAGAACATTTTAAAAGTTCGACCCATTAAACTTACCAGTGGGCTTCATGACAGTGGCCCAGCGTGTAAATCAGAAGCCACGAGAAGCAGCCACATTTTCTGAATCGTCAAAACAGACTCATGTGGTGAGGTTATGCAGAGGTGGAGCCATGCAGATGGTCAGGACTATGAACAAAAGAAACAGTCCGCAGGAACTTGTGCTTCGCACATGCCGTAGGATGGCAGGCACCTCATCACCAATCTGGTATTGGCCGGTTGTTACAGAAAGATCTGGAAGCTGGTAGAGAAAGCAGTGATTTCGGCATGACAGTTTGCCATGCCCTCTATGGACAGTGGCTCACCTCGCCTCTGAGAGCAAACAAGGTGTTTGCTTCTCAGTGTCTCTGCAGCCCTGCTCAGTGCTTCAGGGAACCGTCCGTGAGAACTGCTCCTCGGGTGGAGAGTCATTGGAAGACTGAGAGGGATAGTCCTGCCTTTGCTCAGGGCAAAGTTTCAGGGGCAGAGCCCCAGAAGGACGGCTGGCAGGGACGAATCTGCTCTTGGCCGAGCGGCGACCGCTGACACCACGATGGCAGCAGCCAATGAGGTCAGGGTCTTGCCATCCTGAAATGGGCCACGCGGAGATGTCAACTCCAGGGGAGCTGGACTCGCACTCGGGGTCTTCGAGAGCCGCTGGCCCCAGGCTGAGCCCGTGTCCCCTCCCAGAGGAGCTGGGCCTCCGGAGGGCAGCCGGCGCAGCAGGGCCACAGCTTCCTAGAGGTGATCTTCCTCCTCCAGTCAGAAGACTACACCCTTTTTAAATAAAGTTTACTTTATTTACTTTGTTTGACAGTATCACTCCAACGACTGCCACTTAATCGCTAAAACAGTTCGATAGAACTTCCGATCGGGGGTGTCTGGGTGCTCGGTCAGTTAAGCGTCTGACTCAGATCGTGATCTCAGGGTCCTGGGATTGAGCATCTGGCTCCAGGCTCAGAGGCAGCTTCTCCCTCTCCCTCTGCTCCTCTTCTGCCCCACCCCCACCCCACTCTCTCTTTCTCCCTCTCTCAAATAAATAAAATCTAAACAAAAAAAAAACTTTTTGATCACTTACTAAGTGAATTCATGTGACTTCATCTGTCTTGAGCACAGAGACAGTTTAATAATATAATTGGTTCTGGGTTTTTAAAGGAACACTTCACAGCACACGTAGATATAGGATCAGGGACTGCAATACTAATGCCAAGTGTCTCATCAAGATTTACCATATTTATGGTCTCATTCATTTGAGGAATATAAATAATAGTGAAAGGGAATAGAGGGGAAGGGAGAAAAATGGGTAGGAAATATCGGAAAGGGAGACAGAACATGGAAGACTCCTAATTCTGGGAAACGAACTAGGGGTGGTGGAAGGGGAGGAGGGCGGGGGGTAGAGGTGACTAGGTGCCGGGCAATGAGGGGGGCACTTGACGGGATGAGCACTGGGTGTTATTCTGTATGTTGGCAAATTGAACACCAATAAAAAAAAATTTATTATTTAAAAAAAGATTTACCATATTTACTCTCTACTCATGCTTCAAACATGTAACCTGTGTTAGGACGACTAATTTGCCGAATTTTAGCATTTAAAGGCACGTCTTTGTGGAACTCAGTAAGTAGAAGTTGTTCAAATGGGGAAATGATATGTCAGTAACAGACTGCAAAAAAATAGAACATTTCTTTTTCTAAAAAAAAAAACTGGAAGAAAAAAACAATTCCTTTGAGAATATGGGAAAAAATAATAAATAAATAAACAAACAAACAAATAAATAAATAAATAAATAAATAAATAAATAAATAAATAAAACTGGAAGACAGGAATACGGAGCAATGAGGGGAATGAGGATGGTGGAAATGGCCGGACAGCCCGAGTCCTAGGGATACCACCGCAGGAGGGGCTCTAACTGCAGCTGGGCCACTAACTGACTTTGCTCCTTGTAGGCGACGTGGGATGACCAGATCCCTGGACCCCTAGCAACCTTTGTAGCTTCACAGCTTGCAATGCCAGTTAAATCAAAAGGAAAGAAATGATTCTGGAGACAGCTTTGAATGTTTCTGGAATAATTTTCAGGAAATCTTCAGGATGAGTCCCCTAAGTAGTATGGGGTTTGGTGCTCTTTGTGTGGGCCGTAGTTTTCAGCCCAGCCCGTGGTTCATGAGAATGTGGATTTCGGGTTAAACTGGGCAGCGCAGCCAGCTGAGCTCCCTGCAAAGGTACAGCGAAGTCCCAGAGGAAGGCCCTGGCCCCTCAGAATCCTCCCGAGCCTCCAGCCCGGTATCTGACTGAACAGGTTTCCAATTTTTTCTGAACTGAACATTTTTTCTTGGGATCCCCTGGCTGGCTCTGTTGGTAGAGCACACAACTTTTGATCTCAGGGTTGTGAGTTCAAGCCCCGCGCCAGGTATGGAGCCTACTAAAAATAATAATAATAAAAATAAATATATATAAATATATATATATATAAATTTATATAAATATAAATTTGTTTATTTAAACAAATGAAAACTCTCTCCCTAGCTTCTGCTGGCTTCTGAGATTCCCAAAGCAAAACCTGGACCCTGCTGAAAAAGAAAGGGGATATCCCCGCCTGGCTTACCCTGCAGTAACTGTGCTTTGGATGTTTTCCCTACAGGCATGTGGTTAAAACGAAAGTTCGAAACGTATGCAAGCAAGAGTGAGCACTCTGGGGTAGAGGCAGCTTGTGGGTGAGCCCGGGGTTCCTATGCCTGGGCATTGCCTGGGGAGTGCAGCTAAACACATGGAGAACAGCTGGAAAATGACCAGAGGCTGGACGGGCTACGAGAGCAAGAGAACCGTGATTGGAGAGAGCTGGAGAGATCCTGGGGCATGAATCAGCCCCCCGAGTGGGACGCAGAAGATGGGGAGCGCCGTGCAGAGGCAGGCACGCTGAGCGCACCGGGCCAGATCAGCTCGGCCCGGCCGCTTGGGCTGAGGATTGACAAAGGGGCAGGTGCACACCGTGGCCCCAAGCTGCCCACGTCCCAGAGAGTCCTTGGTTCTTCTCCTCTTCCAGCTCCGCCTCTTCCTGGCAGCGAGATCCCAGGTAAGTAACTTCTCTAAACTTCTGTTTCCCCGTCTCTGGAATGGCCCTAACTGCCTACGCACCTGACAGGGTGGCCCTAAGGATCGTGAATGCGTGCCGCAGCCGCACATCAAGTTCTTCAACCGTATGTGATACAGAATGAGCGAGCAAACTTTAGGTGTTGTAGCATTCGTTTAGCAACTGTATCAGAGGGGCGCCTGGGGGGCTCAGCGGTGGAGCACCTGCCTTGGGCCCAGGGCGTGACCCCGGGGTCCCAGGATCGAGTCCTGCACTGGGCAACCTGCATGGAGCCTGCTTCTCCCTCTGCCTGGGTCTCTGCCTCTCTGTGTGTCTCTCAGGAATAAATCAATAAAATCTAAAAAAAAAACAAAACAAAAAAAAGAATCATCCAGAAGGAGCACAGTGGTATGGGATGAGACCTCACCTTTTCCGAAGGCCCTTGGAAGCCAAGGCAAGGAGTTGGGATGGCAGTCTAAGAGAAAAGGGTTAAGTGACCATGTTATGAGTCAGTTGTAGCTTCTGTATGAAAACCAGACTGGAGGGACCCATGGGTGAGTGACATCAGGAGGCTCTCATAGCTGACCCAATGAGAAGTGATACGGCGGGAGTGGAAGGGAGCAAGTTGTTGGAGGAGGGTTTCAGAAATGGAAGAGACTGGGATGCCTGGGGGACTCAGCGATGGAGCGCCTGCCTTGGGCCCAGGGCGTGACCCCGGGGTCCCAGGATCGAGTCCCACATTGGGCTCCCTGTAGGAGCCTGCTTCTCCCTCTGCCTGTGTCTCTGCCTCTCTCTGTGTCTCTCAGGAATAAATCAATAAAATCTTAAAAAAAAGAAAAACTGTATCAGACACCTTAGGGGATGTAAAAATGAACCAGATGGAGATTTTTCCCTTAATATGCTCACTGACAGCACCTAAGACATGTAAATACCTTTGCAAAGTCTAAGGGGGAAGTTCCCTAGGAGGGCCCTACTTTCAGGGCTAGGAGCGGGAGGGGAGGGGAGATCAAAGGGAGAAAATATTTCTGCCTGAACTGTGAATTCTAGGCTAAGGAGCCTGAGTTTTATTTGGTGGGAAGAGAGCTGTTAAGAAGGGGATGGTGGGACACGGCAGATTAACTGCCTGGTGCACACGATGCCTCTTGGGGGAGACAGCCGGGAAATTGTCGCCGTCACTTAGATGCAGTCTAACGCCTGCCTGGGGTGCGCCGTGGTAGGGACTGGATCCAGAGGGAAGAATGAATCCAAACGGCATTTGCAAGTGACACATTTGATGAGCGAAGGGATACTTAAAGAATAGGAGTGACGCAAAGATAATTGGAATGCTGGGTCCTGAAACACTGGCAGGGTGGGGTTGCCTCTCACTGAACCACACGTAGGCCAACAACACGTCTCCCTTGGGGCAAATTCACGTCCCCAGACATACACCTCACTGCACTGCTGTAGGTCTGCGGTTCACATTACTGTGTGTTTTACTGTGTTGCAGTAGAGACACTTTGGGGTGTCTGCCCACCTCCCGAGACCCCAACAGGCATCGGGGGTTCTTGACAACCATTTCACATTATAATCCTACCCCACTTCCGGCCGCAGCTAATGGAACAGAGATGCATACCCTGTCTGACCCAAAGTGGGCCGAATTTTTTCTCTTAGAAACTCAGAACCAGGGGGCAGGCCGGGTGGCTCAGTGGGTTAGCGCTGCCTTCAGTCCAGGGCCTGATGCTGGAGATCCAGGATCGAGTCCCACGTTGGGCTCCCTGCATGGAGCCTGCTTCTCCCTCTGCCTGTGTCTCTGCCTCTCTCTCTGTGGGTGTGTCATGAATAAATAAATAAAATATTAAAACAATAAAAAAAAAGAAGAAGAAGAAAGAAAGAAACTCAGAACCAGGCACGAGAGTTCCATTTCCAGCTGGGCTCTTTGCTGGAACTGGAGGGCACAGACTCGGAAGATGCAGAGCAGCCACCTTCCATCCGTCATGCAGACGGAGAGGAGATGCTAGTCTGCAGGGAGAGACGAATGCAGCAGATCGGAGCGGGAGGAGGCAGAGAGAGCCTCCTGATTCTGGTGGCCCTGAGAGGCCCAGCTGCCTTCCGATGCACGTGGTAGCCCCACATCCATCAGACGGACGCCCCTGTTTGCTCCAGCTGGCTGGCGCTGGTTTCTGTAACTTGCAGTTTGGAACATTGACTGATGCTGTTGAATGAAATCCGGACCTGGGTGGAAGAGCACAAGTTCACGGTTTTCAGTAGGTGGGTTCTCTCTCCCCCCAGAAGTAGGTAACTGGCACTTTGAAGACAGGAGGTAGGAAGAAGAGGGAGGTGGACCTCTTGTCCCGATATTAAGAGGTCTAGATGTCCAGTGACACCCTGAGAGGCCTAGATAGGTCCCTAGACCCAGAAGGAAGGAAAGAACCCGAGCAAAACCACCTTTGCTTCTTATGGATGAACTTGGTATGTTGTCTTCTTTGTGTTTGTTGTAGCTGAACACGGACGAGAGAATGGATGCGGGTCGGGCTGTCCTGGATTCACATCCAAGCTCAATCTCTTACTCGGCGCATTACTCAACCTCTCGGAGACTCAATTGCTTTAATTATAAAATCGGAATAATATGTCTCTCCCAGAGTCGTGTTGAAGTCCCAGGGGAGTCCAGTGGCCCAAGCTTTGTACCACTTGAGAAATAAGACCAACGAAGGTCCTGTAGGAACAGAACGGCATCTTTGTTATTGGCGCAGGCTACAGGGACCAAGTCTACAAATGTGTGAGTCAAAATGGGCCAAATACATCCCTATTCCCAAGGAGACCCTTCACACCAGGTGAGTGTGAGTCTGCAGAGTGTACACACTGCCCAGGTTGTGGCCCCCCACTGCTGCCGTGAGAGGAGACGCCCTCAGAACTTGTGCAGGAGCCCACACAACCGGAAAACGTGGGCAGACGGCTGCGGCCCACCCAGCAGGTCACCGTGGGCAGCAGACAGGAGGGTGCAAGAGCCCACCAGCGAGGGAGAAATCCAGGGGCCAGGAGTGGAGGAACGGTGTTTCCCCTCCCCAGGCCCCAACTGCCAGTTGTGAGGACTGAGGGAACTAGTCCTGGCAAGCGGCATCACGTCCCGTGGGAATCTTCCCAAATCAATCAGCCCTTCTCTTCAGCAAGAGAGAGACATAACTGACAAGTTAGGACACCACAGACAAGTTCTGCCCACAACTGTAGCTCGAGGGGGGTCTGTCTCAGGGAGATGCAGCATGGCATGTGTGCACCTGCAGCTCTTGCCGATCCATCCACCGTGCCTCGGATACGATGTAAGGATCTCTATGTGCTGCCCATGACTGCGGGAGGCATGGTTCCCAGGTTAGGAACAACGCTGCTAGAAACTTCCTCCTGTGTGCCTCTAGGTGTGCATGCATATACACATCTGTACATCTGTGGGACTTCTGGTCAGAGGGCTCCGTGTGCATTCCACCGTAGCAGATACAGGTTTGCAATGCGGCAGTCCCACTTCTGGGAGACATGTGAGACATGCATGTGAGACAGGGGTGATGCAAAGGGGCTGAGGGAGGATCATCTGAGGGGAACAGAGGCAGAGCCACAGGCCTACCAGCCCTCCCCCGCCTTGCAGAACCAACTCCAGGATTCGGGGGAGGGGGGTCAGATTTTTTTGAGGAAAACACTTCCCCATGTGTGTGGAGCTGGCTAGGGTTTGTAGAAGAAAGGAAGATGGGAGCATGAGTGCAGAGAAGGTGCCTGTAGATGTAGATTTGGAGTTGTCCCCATAAAGGCCCGACTGGCCTGAATGCAAGCTCCCTGAGAACCACTTCCCCCCTATGTCTTCACCCCCTCACCTCCCAACACCATGGCTGTGCCGGCCCCATGAGAAGAGCTCCGTCCACTCTTGCTGAAAGAATGGATAGATTTCTGATGAGGTGACTGAGGGGAGGGTGGCCTCAGTCGGTAGGGCACGCAGCTCTTCATCTCAGGGCCGTGAGTTGGGCATGGAGCTTACTTAAAAAAAAAAAAAAAAAAGGAATTCTATATTGCCTTCCCCAGTAGAATTTTCAGCATCTTTATAAGAGAAAAAAAGAGTTAAAGGTGGATTTCCGGGGAACTGTGTGGCAGGCAGAAGGAGAATCAGTCCCAGAGGGGCTGACAAGGAACAGTTTAGAGGGAAAGGAAGCAGATCAGAAGAGAGTGGCCACAAAAATCAAAACAGGTCCCAAAGAATGGGTTTTCAACAACACCAAACAGGAAGGCTTCCAAAAGTAGTTTCTTAACCCAGGGTGGATCACCTTGGAAGAAGCTGCCTCAAGGAAACACGAAGATGTACGTCAGATGAGCATATATGTGCGGTGTGTATGTTACGACAACACGCGTACACAGTGTACATCCTATCATGTGAACAACAGGAAACAAGTGGCCTGTTGGCTTAGTACGGTGACAAGAACAGTTGGGTTAGCACATTGGGAGCTTCGCTCATTCTTCCTACATTCCGAGGATGATGGGCAACATTTACCGTCAGAATGAAATCAGTAGAAACCACCTGGTAGAGATCAAAAGGAAAAGAGAAAGGGGATCCCTGGGTGGCGCAGCGGTTTGGCGCCTGCCTTTGGCCCAGGGCGCGATCCTGGAGACCAGGGATCGAATCCCACGTCAGGCTCCCGGTGCATGGAGCCTGCTTCTCCCTCTGCCTGTGTCTCTGCCTCTCTCTCTCTCTCTCTATGACTATTGTAAATAAAGAAAAAAAATTTAAAAAAAAAAAAAAAAAAAACAAAAGGAAAAGAGAAAGATGTTAAGAACCAACTGTCTGCTTGGGACTTTGTAAATAACTTCCCTTTGGGACATCTGGGTGGCTCAGTGGTCGAGCACCTGCCTTCGGCCCAGGGTGTGATCCTGGAGACCCAGAATCGAGTCCCACGTCGGGCTCCCTGCATGGAGCCTGCTTCTCCCTCTGCCTGTGTCTCTGCACCGCCCCCCGCCGTCTCTTGTGAATAAATAAATAAAATCTGTATAAAAAAAAAAAAAACCATTTCCCTTTGTGCTCAAGACAATCTGGTTAGGGGGCAGTTCCCACCCCTATCCTACATATAGGAAAAGTCACACAGGTTAAGGGACGGGTTTGAAAGCACGCAGATGGCTGAGCTGGGGCCAGCTGCAGGCCTGGCTCCCCTGGAGCCCGCGTGGCTTCCCCACATCATGCCTCCAACCCCGGCAAAGAAGTGTACTCTCCTACCAGAGCAGCTGACAGTGCTTTATACACTTCTCAGTGATAGGGATTTTTTTTTTGAAGGCTTAATTTAATTTTGTTATTATTATGACTTTTTTTAATTTGGAAATGGTCTAAAACTCCCAAGAAATTGCAGAAATAGTACAGAGAAATCTCGTTTATCTGGTACACGGCTTTCCCTGATAATAATCTCTTTTATAATCACTGTATTTTGTCAAAACCAGGAAGTCAATCTTGGTACAACACTAACTCAAAGCTTTTCTTTTTTTTCTTTTTAACATTTTACTTATTAATTTGATAGAGAGGGACGGAGAGAGAGCACAAGCGGGGGCCGGGTAGGGACAGAGGGAGAAGCAGACCCTCCACTGAGCAGGGAGCCAATCCCAGGACCCTGGGATCATGACCTAAGCTGAAAGCAGATGCTTAACTAACTGAGCCACCCAGGTACCCCTAACTCATTTTTCTTTTCTTTTTTTTTTTTTGCATTTTTAAAACTTTTATTTAAATTCATTTAACTAACATATAATGTACTATTGGTTTCAGAGGTAGGGGTCAGTGAGTCATCAGTCAAATGTAATACTCAGTACTCATTACATCACATGCCCTCCTAAATGTCCATCACCCAGTTACACCATCCCCTACCCCATCCCTCCAACAACCCTGTTTGTTTTCGATGATTAAGAGTCTCTTATTATTTGTCTCCCCCTCTGATTTCATCTTGTTTTACTTTTTCCTCTCTTCCCCATGATCCTCTATTTTGTTTCTTAAATTCCACACGCCTAACTCATTTTTCAACATCCACGGTGAGGATTTAAGCCGGACAATTCTCTGTGGTTGTAGGATGTTCGGCAGCACAGCCAGTAGCACCCTGCGCCCCAATTGTGACCACCAGAAATTTTCCAGACTCAGTGATAGCTTTTAAAGTACCAAACTGCTTCACATTCTTTATTCAAAATACGATTTTGGTGTTCAGCACTTCTTCTTTTTTTTTTTTTTTTAGATGTTAACACATATAGAAAAATAACCACAGCAAACAAAATTTTTTTTAAGTCCTCAGAATTTAAAAAAGACATTTTCAAACCACAAAAATATAACTAGCCTTTAAAAAAAAATCAGGGAGAAAGATGAAGGCTGCGTTTTGACTACAATTCTCTATTTAAATAAACACTAACAAAAATCACATTCACAGAAATCTGTTACTCATCGCAAACATCCCACTGGGCACATTTCTCAAGCAAATCTTAAGACAGAAATTGATGAGGTTATTTTCTCTCCCGTTATCGGAAAGAACTGTAAAATTTCTATGGAATCACATAAAAGTCTACTGTCTGAAATAGTGGCCCATTCTCGTACCTGCTGTCTGGCTAATAAAGGAGCATTTGGCCCCATCTGGTTTCGGCCAAGGAGGGCAGACCCTGTGCCAATAAAAGTTGATCATTTTTGCTCCAGCTCTGAGACCCACCCCCCACCCCGACAGGGCAGGAACCTCACCAACTTCCCTCCTTCGGGGAGCCGGAGCCCTCCCCCGGGCAGTGTCCCTGGCCCCATGGGGAGAGGGGGGCCTGGGCCAACACGCAGAAGGCCAACTCCATCCCCACTCACAGAGGGAGGAGCCACTGCACATCAGTTTCCTGCCCAAATCCCAGGGCTCTGCTATCACATAATCGATCCCTTACCACAGGCATCTGCGTCGCCTCGGACTCTTCGGACTACAGAGAATGTTGCTGAATCCCTTTAGAACCCCTGGGCTGTAACATAGTGATCTGGAGAGTGAAGCCTGCGTCTGTGAGATTGTCTGAACCGCCTGGAAGGGGCAGAGTCAAAAGCCAAGGCTCGCAGTGGCCAGCAGCACGCTTCTGCTCGGGCCAGAGGCTGCAGGGCCTGCGGGAGGACAATGGTGGCCCAGGCCTGAGCCCAAGGTGGGAGTGTCATCCCCTCCGACCTTCTCACGGCTCCAGGCGGTGGTCGGTGGTCGGTAGTGCCGGGCAGCGCAGCCCTCACCCCCAGAACTCAAGGCTCGTACAACCCCATTTTGAAGCTGTTGTTTCCTCTGCCAGAAAAGTAGTCTCTCTGGGCATGTTGACTGATGCGTAAATTCATTTTTAATGACTCGAGGGTAAATCGCAAAGTCCAAAATAACAGAGGATCTAGGAACAGAAGCAAACGCTAACTCAGATTTGAAGAAATGGGGGGACAAAGGGATTGAATCTCACAAACCTTTCTAAATATGTATTGTTAGTTATTATTTGCAAAAGAACATGTTGTGTAGTTCATTGTTAAGCATTCATTTGCAATGTAACATCCACTTATGTTCACAATTACCTGTTCAATATCAATGTATAGGTATCTCTGGGACCTTCAAACTCAATTTGATTTATAGATTTATGATCCTAAAACAACAGACCTCACTAATCTTGGGGTCTGCACTTAATTTGAGTGGACACATCAGCTTTGGGGTTTTCTGGCTGAAAAATGTAATATTAATAGCACATGCCTGGGGCACCTGGGTGGCTCAGTAGGTTAAGTGGCTGCCTTTGGCTCAAGTTGTGATTTCGGGTCCTGGGATTGAGCCCCACATCAGGCTCCCTGCTCAGCGGGGAGTCTGCGTCTCCCTCTGTCCCTCCCCCTCTGCTCATTCTCTCTTTCTCTCTCTCTCTCAAATAAATAAATAAAACCTTAACACACACCACACACACACAAAACAACATGCCTCAAATCTGTGCATAAAATCACAATTGCTCCTTAAACAGAGGCTCCTTAACCCAACAGAAATATACAAATGGAAGGCTCTGGACTATTTAAAGTCGTTCTGAATATACACTCACATTTCTTTTTAAATAATGTAAAATTAGAAGAAAAAAAAAACCTAACTCTCTCCAGGAAACTGTAACCTGTTCCATTACACCAGAATAACCTCCTGAAAACAAGGATGTTTTTTACTCAGAGCTGTGGAGGAAGGAGCTGAAAGTACATGCGCTCCGGAGAGCACTGCAAGGTGGCCCCTCGAAAGACCTGGTTTCCCACGACCATAAACTCCTCATCCGTGGAGTGGATGCTCCCTCAGCACAACACGCGCACAGCTATTTGCAGGAAAAGCCATCTGTAGGATGTGCTCATGAATTTTTCAAAGTGGAGATGAAACGTTTCAAACTTAGTTCACCAAAAAAAAAAAAAAAAAAACTACCTGTTTTCCATGTTTATTCAGTTCAGATTTTCAGGCACAATTTCCCATTCCAGGATACATGAAGATGCCGTTGACTGTCCTCAGGAAATGACCTCGGGTAACAGTTTCAAAGGACCTGCGCGATACCACCCATGAGAATGGGATGAGTGACTACAATCAGGAACTACAATACTAGTCTCATTTCTCTAAATGTCTGAAACATGAGTCCAGAATATTTTTGCTTTACCGGAGATGTTTGTAGGTGTGTAGAGGTCCCTGCTGAACTGGCTCTGAACTCCTGCCTTAAACTATTCTATTAGATTCAATAGCAAAACTCAGCAGCACACCTTAAAAGTAAGCCCTTGATCTTTGCCATCTCCAAAACCGACATTCAGCTGGAATGTGCCTCTGCTCTCCCCTGGCCAAAATTTGTCCACTCGGGGACGGCCAAGGTCAAAGGACTAGACTCTACAAAACGCAGATACAGAGTCTACCCAAAAGATTCAAAATTAAGTGTAAATCCTAAGGAACCTAAAGTTGTTTAGGGCTCCAACACCTGGCCTCTGGAGGATTACAGGACCACCCCGGGCTGCCTTCTGGTCATCTCCCCGACCAGCTAAAGGGGGTCCAGGGTGGGGCATGAAAACCCAGCAGATCACCAGGTGGAGCGTGTCTACTATGTAGGGACAAGAGCTCCCCTCTGTGGGCCGGTGTGCGGGGTGACCAGGACCCCGCCCAGGAGGCAGAGCCGAGGCCACGGGGCTGAGCCACCTGCCCCCAGGCCTTTGCCCCCGCATCTACACCGAGCACATCCCGGATCTCTGGAAGACCGGCCTGGCCCTGGCCTCACCGGGACTGGTGTGCAAGGCTGACCCGCCCACAGCTCCCTGCCCGCGGCTGATTAAATTCCCCCACGTCACGGGCTCCCTCTAAACTGCACACCTGTGCTCCATTGCGAGAATCAAAAATACACATTGGATTCAGTTCCACGATGCTACAAAAAAGGAAAGCAGCCCATTTCCTCTGGGAGGCCGTTCCCTGCGCTCCTGACAGCGCGTGTGACGCGGGTCACAGGCCTCCCGGCGGCTCCGAGCCACGCGCCCCGAGGAACGCGCGGGAGTCGGGGTGCAAGGCCTCGCACGGAGGCAAGCACGCCCGCTGTGCAAGGGGGGTGCGGGGCCAGGGAACGAGGTGCAGGCCCCCCCACGGCTCCAGCGTGGACCAGGCAGGAGCTCTGCGCCAGCTGACAGGTGCCCGGGCCGCAGGAGCACAGCGTCACCAGGGAAGGGCTCGGCCCGAGAGGCCCAGGGCACCTGTCCCAGGACTAAGTGGCTCTGCCCCAGCTCCAGCCCCAGCCCCGGAGAACAAGGGGCCGCCCCGATGCTGCAGGAAGCCCCCCTCCCTGCAGCAGGACGCTGGCCTCACCTCGGGCACGGGAGGGGGGAGCCCTGTTCCCCACAGACTGCCACAGCGCAGCCTCTGCTTCTGGAGCTCCTCGGGAGGGGACCCACGTTTCATCCCACATTCCCCGGCCCCGGGGCCCATGGACCCACCTGCCCATGAGGAAGAAGCTGGAAGCTTCTAGTAGAGGCCAGTGGCGGTCGCTGAGCTGAGCGGAAGGAGTTCGGACCCCTGGAGCTGGGCATGGTTGTCAGCTCTTACACTTCCACCAGAATGCCAGCCCTGGAAGACAACAACAACAATAACAACTGGATTTTGGAATTTTGCTTTGGGGCATGGGTGTGAACAAAAACTCGTTCCCTTCGGGAAATACACTCTTAAATACTTCCCTAGTGTGGTCAGTATTGCTCCTTCCTCTGAAACCGCCTTTTCAAAAATAAAACCTATTTAACTTCCTTACGTTTCTTTATAAAACTTGTTCTCAGTCTGTTACAAAAATTTGGCTCTTTATAAAATAAAACTGACATTTAGAAGATTGCCTAGTACTTGCAAAGGCTACAACCACGGGCAGACAGACTGGGCTGTTGCAAATCTCTTACAAAATTCTGAACCTTAGAAAAGCGATTCTCCATGACTTGGGAGACAGCAATGCTAGATTTCCTTACCTAAAAGGCAGGTTGGACATTCGTTATATTATGAAATAAGTACTTTTAAAAGATCAGTTGCTTGAATTCCAAAATATACTTCTGAAAGTCTTTTTTTTTTTTTTGAGGAATAGAAAATTTGCTCTTCACACCTCTTTAGAACCCATTTCTTTTTTTATTCCAGATTTGAAGGGCTACCATTTTAAAGAATGCCAGACAAGGGGATCTCTATATTGATCATGCTATCGGGCTCCTCATTTCATCCTTGTGTAATTTTAAATAATCCCAAACAATCTAAAATAATTCATAATTATCATATGAATTGACATTTCAAATTGTGCTATAGGCTGTGTACACTACCAATACTTATCAACTAAAATGTACTCCAAAACACATAAGAAAAAATATAAAATTTCTATCTTAGTGTTATGTAATAATGCACTTTAAAAAAATATTTTATTTATTTATTCATGAGAAACAGAGAGGGGCAGAGACAAAAGCAGAGGGAGAAGCAGGCTCCCCGCAGGGAGCCTGATGCAGGACTCATCCCAGGACCCCAGGGTCCTGCCCTGAGCCAAAGGCAGACGCTCAACCACTGAGCCACCTAGATCCCCCCGCAATAATGCACTTTTTAAAAAGAAATAGTATACCAAACCCAGGAAGGGACATTGCTTGGTTATGTTTGTAAGAGAAAAATGATGTAATTCTTATCATTGCTTATTTTTACTGTTATAAAGCTTTTTCATAAGTAGGTATGAATTGTTATTATTTCATAGATGTGACTGTTTTTTAGTCTGCTTTACTCTGAGTGTAAGTTATAATTTATTGGCTTCTGATGGCTTCCCACGAATAATTATGTTAAAAATTTTTTCCCAAGTTCAATTACCTTTGGCAAATACTGCCGTGGTCAAAAGGGAGGTCTCCAAAGCAGAGGCTAAACTAAATATTTCTATGGCTTAAGACATCTCATTTTGATGCATCTCATTTTGATGTATCCGTCAGTTTTGGTAGCTTGACGTCAGTTCGGATGGATGCTATATTTCAGCTGTACTGATTTATTATTAATCCTAGATGAAAGATGACAAGTAGATTCTCCTCCCCTGTATAGTAATAGTTGTACCTTTGGTGTCTTCGTGTTTATTCTGATCAAGATTACTGAAAGTAATAGAAACAGTATTACCTCTAAATAAAAGAGGTTAATTTCAAGTGGCAAACCTTACTAAAAAGTTTAGCTGCTTTATTAAGTGTAACTCTCAGCATATATGTTAAAAACACTTCTCTAGAGCAAGAGTTGGCAAGCTTTCCATAAAGGGCCATATAGTAAATATTTTAGCTTTTGCCATATGGTTTTTGTTGCATCTACTCAACTTTGCTCTTGTAGAGGAAGGCAGTCAGAGATTATATGTAAATGAATGTGCATGGCTGTGTTCCAATAAAACTTTATTTATGGACACCGAAATCTGAATTTCACACACTTCTCCTGTGTCACGAAACCGTATTCTTCCTTTGAATTTTTCCAAGTGTTTAAACATGTAAAAATCATTTTTAGCTCTCGGGCCCTACGAGAACAGATTTCAGGCTGAATTAGGCCCATGGGCCGTAGAATGCCTACCCTGGTTCCTAAAAAGCAACAGTAGAAGCCATCCATCCTTAAACATTACCATGACGCAGTGAACTGCTTGTAGCAATCATGTGCCAGAAAATACGACAACCAAAGACAGACAAATTACCAAAGACTAAGCACGGCATGGTTGAAAATCGGGTCCTCTCTCAGGATGCTGACCAGCCCCGCTCATGCAGGGCCACATCATCTTGGCATCCAGGGCCATCGGCAGGTGAGTGAAGAAGTCCAGCCTGAGAGTACCCATCTGGTTCTGAGCAGCATGCGCCTGCTGGGCATGCCTCCTCCTCTGTCAGGTCACCACTACCCGCTGTGGCTCCGAGTCCGGACAGAAAGACACCCGACCTCGCCCCGCATCATCCAGCCCCTGAGAGCCCAACTTCTCTGACTGCTAAAGGCCCAAGAGAAGTCTAGCGGCTGTTATGTGCCCTGCCTGCACACAGGGGTTGAGGGTCAGCGACCCTGCCGGGGACCGCAGGCCCACTAGTGTTCCAAGTCACCAAGCGCCTTCTGCAAAAGGCTTTAAAGAATGGGCCATCTGGGCCTCTCCGCATCAGAGAGGGAAGACTGAAAAAAGGAAACGTGGAAAATAAATACTGCTTAAGTCTCGTGAAAGGGCCAGCCTGATCCGCCGAGGGAGATCCCCTCCCTGACCAGCCAGACCTCCCGAACGGCGCAGGAGCTGCGGGACCAAGAGCAGTGTGCACAGAGGGCGTGCAGGTGGCCTTTACTCTTTCAAGGGCAGGTGTACACGGAGGCCCACGGAAATCATGTCCGGGCTGTGCAAACACCCAGACCCCAGGTAAGGGGCAGACAAGGACACAGCCCAGCCAGGCGCCCCCCACCACCCCGGAGCGGGGGAGGTGGAGGAGCAGGCCTGCCCCCGCGCGACGCCAGGATGCGCGTCCTTCCCGCAGCAAAGTGACGGCGCGTCCAGGGCTGCAAGCGAGTCCCGAGGTGGGCGGCCGCGCGCAGGGCCAGGGCCTTCGTGCAGGAGGAGGGGCGCGGGCAGGCGCGGGGCTCAGGGCGCGTCCGGGGGGCGCCCGAAGCGCAGCGTGTAGTTGGCGCCCGCGTTGTTGTCCCAGTACTCGCCCTGGGCGCAGCGGAAGCGCACGGCGAAGTGCACGGCGGCGCCCGGCGCGGCGTCCCCGGCCTCGGGCTGCAGGCCTGGCGGCAGGCTCAGCGAGAAGTGGAAGCGCTCGGCGCCCGGCTCCGGCTCCGGCTCCGGCTCCGGCTCCGGCCCCGGCCCCGGCTCCCGCTCCGGCTCCGGCCCCGGCCCCGGCTCCCGCTCCGGCCCCGGCCCCGGCTCGGCGTCCCCGCGCGCCCCCGACGCCGCCTCGGGCCGCCGCGGCTCCGCGGGCTCGGGCTGCAGCTCGGCCGGCACGTCGAGGAAGGAGCGCCACTCGGTGAAGGTGTAGCGCACCGCCACGGCCCGCGGCCCCGGGCAGCCCAGCACGCGGCCCGAGCCCGTCACCGCCGCGCCCCCGGCGGCCGAGCACTGCACGCGCTCCAGGCACACGCGCTGCCGCCGCAGGCGCTCGGCCGCCGCGCCCGGCCCCGGGAGCTGGAAGAGCGGCCGCAGGCGGGGCCGCGGCGCCGGGGCCCGGGCGCGCGGGGGGCGGCCGCCGAGGCGCAGCAGCACGGCGGGCGGCACCCGCGGCCCCTCGGCCTCGCTGAAGCGCCGCACGCTGGCCAGGCTCAGCCCCAGCGCGTCGGCGAACTGCACCCGCTTCGTGCACTTGGCGCAGCAGCCGCCCTCGGCGCCCGCGCCCGGCCGCGCCCCCCGCAGCAGCGCCGCCGGCGGGAGCCGGTCCGCGGGCACCGACGCCGGGCGCGGGCCGCCGCGGGCCTCCGGGGGCTCCTCCCGCTGCCGCGGCGCCGCGTCCTCCTCGGCGGGGGGCTCCATGCGGCCGTCGGGCCTCGGCGGGAGCGCGCGGCCCGGCCCAGCCCGGCCCGGCCCCGGAGCCTCGGGTTTTAGCGGCGGCCGCCGGGCCCGGGCGGGTGGGTGGAGGGCGGGAGGGGGCGCGGACGCGGGGCCGGCTTCGCGGCGGAGCCTGCCCGCGGCGGGGGAGGGCCCGGGGCGGGGAGCGCGGACCGCGGGACACCCGGCGGCGGGGCGGGCGGGCCTCCCTCCTCCTCCTCCTCCCGCCCGGCCCGCGGGCCCGCCCGGCCCGGCCCGGCCCGGTCCCTGGTCCCGGTCCCGGCCCCGGCCCCGGCCCCGGCGGGCGCAGCGCAGTCCCGCCCCGCGGTCGCCTCCTCCAGGAAGCCCCCCGGGGCCGGCGCGCGACTAGGGAAGCCCGCGGGAGGCGGAGCGCTCCCTCCCGCCTGCGCTCGCGGACCTCGGGGCGCCCGGGCCCCGACCTCGCCGCCGCGCGCTCCCCTGGGCGCCCGGGGAGCCGCGCCCCGAGCCGCTGGAGGCCATTAGCGCGGGCCCCGGGCGCACGGCCCCGCCCCTCCCCCGGCCCCGCCCGCCGCGCTGGGGCCCAGGCCGGGACCGACCCGCGCGCTCCGCCCCCCGGGACCGGCCCTTGCGCGCTCCGCCCCCCCCCCCGGACCGCCCTGCGCGCTCCGCCCCCCCCCCCCCGGGACCGGCCCTTGCGCGCTCCGCCCCCCCCCGGCCGGCCTTGCGCGCCCGCCCTCGCCCCGGGAACGCCCCTCCCCGCCCGGGGCCCTAGCGCGCGGTGCGGCGGGGGCGGGGGGCGCGGCCCCGGGCGTCGCAGGCCGACTTGGCCGCGTGGCAGCCGGTGGCCCCGGGGCGGCAGCGGGTCAGCGCCCCCCGAGGGGCTGGGGCCGTCCCTGCCTCCGTGCTCCCGAAGGTGTGAGGCGCCGGCTCGGGGCTGCGCGCGCCCCCCGTGCGGACCTGCCCGGGCAGAGCCAGGGCTCCGGGGAAGGAGCGGGCCTGCGGGGCCCCGGGGCGTCGGGGACGCTGACCTCGCGCGTTCTCCCGGGGGGGGGCGGGTGGGCAGGGGGTCCGGCCGGGAGGGCCCGCGAGCAGCCGAGCCGAGCAGCCGAGCCGCGGCGCCCAGGACCGAAGGCGGCAGGTGCGCGCCGACCTGGAGCCTGCGAGGCGCCCCCGATTCGCCTGTGCGCCTTTTGCAACACGTCCTTGGAGGAGGCGACGTTGCGTTTACATTTCGGTGAACATTTATATATGATGGAGTTAAACACAAAATTTGCAGACTGTTTGGAGGATAAAAAAGGATTCTGAAGGGATCTTGAGCTAGTGCTCTGGCTACTACCCTCACCAGGGCATGTGCCCACGGCAGGACGGGGACCAAGGAAGGTGAGCGGCCTAAGGAGTGGGGCGCAAGGAGGCCTCACTCTCAGGCTCGTGCAGGGCGCAAGGTTGGAGCGTTGAGGATGCAGGGGTAGGAAGGGGCCGGCCGCTCGGGGCCTTGAGGGTTGAGAAATCGCTGAAGGATTTTGAATCATAGGTGTGACTAACCAGATTTTAAGTTTTGAAAGCTCATTCTGGAAGCAGAATGAAGAGCAGGTTGTGGGGGATAGAGGCACTGTGGGTGTGACTCTTAGGACACTATCACAGTCTTTCAAATGAAAGGTGATCATACATAGGTCAAGAGGAATGAATGGTGACCGTGGTGGGTGGACATATCTGAGAGCTATTTAGGGGTGAAGCCAGCGTGCAGTGCTTATGGACCCATATAGGGGGCGGGGGGAGGGGAGATGCCTTGAAGATTTAGATGTGAGCAGTTACCAGAGGCAGTAGGGTTCCCTGGGACAGGGACCATCAAGAGAAGGAATAGAGGGACGGCAAGATCATGAATCCCATTTGGGGCACTTTTTAAAAAGATTTTATTTATTCATGAGACACAGAGAGAGGCAGAGACACAGGCAGAGGGAGAAGCATTGGGAGCCCAATGGGGATTCGATCCTTGGACCCCGGGGTCACGACCTGAGCCAAAGGGAGTCTCTCAACCGCTCAACCACTGAGCCGCCCAGGTGCCCCTGGGGCATTTGAGCTTAGTAGATTCTCTGGTTCTTTCTGACACCAATTCTCTGACACCAACAGTTGAAGTCTATTTGCAACTACCTGGATGTAGCATCAGATCCTGTGAGGATGTAGCATCCTCACTCCTGTGGGACTGCCCCCTCTCAGATGCTAGCTGCAAGTGATGTGCCCAGGCCATCCCTCTGTGGCCCAGCCAACTACACATTTGGGGTCCCCACAGTCTGCCCTTTCAGGTTCAACAGTCCACCGGAATGGCTCATAGGACTCAGGTGAAGGGGACAAGAATATGTTCTCCCAAATATGCTACTTCATCGAAAGGCTTATTTTTCAAAAGCAATTAAAGACAACAGGCTCAAGATCTCTGTCCTTCCACTTTTTTGCCTAAAGCGGGGCATAATTTTCCCTTGTAAAAGTAGAATAAATATCCACTTATAAACGCGTTTCCCTCTCTTAATCACCAGAAATGACCCTGGAGATGATGCTGACCTAAGTCTGTGTAAACTTACATAACCCCCATAAACCTGACAATAACCTTTATTGTCCATTCATTTCCCCTGTATATTTACCTTCCCACGATTACTGCCCCTAGAAGCCCAGGCACGTTTTCCTCTGTCACTTTTCCACAATTTATCACCCTTTGGCAAGGTGGTCTCTTAGCTCCGTGGCCTAACAGCTTTTTGGGTTTTCACTCCTTTAGTGAAGCGCCTATGTGCATATGAGATAAACCTTTTCTCCTGTTAATCTGTCTTTGTCAGTTTAACCTGCAGGCTCTGGTCACTGAACCTAACAGGGTAGAGGAAAAGTGTTTCCTCCCCAACACGGGAAAACACTTCACCTGTATTTACCAGCTTATCCATTGTATGAAGGATAGAACTCAGGACCAGTGAAATGAAACAGATGTGGGGGAAGGAGTTCAGAGCATCCAAGCCCTTGCCCCTCGCCGTGTACCCCCTCCCAGCAATGTGTTCACCAACCTGGAAGCTCTCTGAAGCTTTTGTTCAAGAGCTTTCCTGGAACTCAGTCTCCAGCCCCCTCCTCCTCCTCCCTGGGCTATCCTGAGGCCACCTGGAGGCCCTACCCTAAATCATCTCATTAGTGTAAATAGGTGTGATCCAAAGGGGCTCATAAGATAAGGCACTCCCACCCCTCGGGAAATTTCCAGGGTTGTAGGAGTTCCGTGCCAGGACCTGTGACAAAGGCGTACTACGTATTTTTATTACACCACAGAGGATGGACAGATCTCGAGCTGAGAAGAGGACGAGGGCCCAGGACCGAGCTCTCAGCGGCTCTAGCTGGCACCTATGGCCCAGGAGGAGAAGGATGAGCCCGCAGAGGGACAGAGCATGAGCAGTCAGGAAATAGCTCTGTCACTCAGAAGCCACGGGAAGACTTCAGAAGCGGGAGAGGTAAGCACTCCACTTGGGGCCCACAGGGACTGTGGGGTACTCCCGCGTCTCCTGAAAGATGTGGACACAGTGGGTGGCCTCAGGCCCCAGGCTCCCTTTCCCCTGAGCTTCCACCCAGGACAGGGCCCAGGTCTCCTCCACACAAGGATCTGGATGCCTGAAGTCAATCATTAAATGATGCAAAATAACTATTTTTTTAAATGAAACTTTATTTTTAAAAAAGATTTTATTTATTTGAGAGAGAGAGCACAAGGGTAGGGGACAGGGTGGGAGGGGAAGAGAAAGAACAGAGCTGAGCAGGGAACCCAATGTGGGCTCCATCCCAGGACCCTGGGACCATGACCTGAGCAGAAGGCGGACACCTAACCGACTGAGCCACCCAGGTGCCCTGCAAAATAACTTTAAAATGTAGGTCACCCCACTGAAATGTGTCTGGTCCAACTTCAAATATCACATGCCTCGGCTGCGAAAATGTTTACTGCAGGCATTGAGAGGCTCCCAGCCTTACCATCTATCCTGGTTACCTGCTGCTCCATGGCACCCCACCCCTGACATAATTGCTTATTAAAATAACAACCACATTTATTTTCTACATGATTCCACAAGGTGGGGAGGGCTCCAGTCATGGCATCTGGAAGGCTGGGGCCGGGGTCATCTGATGCTGGGACTCGGAAGATCGGATGCTTGGACTCGGGGGTCCTCAGGCAGCCCTGTGTGACCGCCAGCACAGTGGCCCAGGGGCAGTCTTGTGACCTGTTTGCTTAGAGAGAGGCAGATGCTGCGTGACTTTACGGCCCAGTCTCGGAAGCCTCCCAGTGCCTCTTCTGCTACATTGTCCTCCTCAGAAGTGAGTCACGCACGAACGCCAGTGTGTCCAGAGACAGGAATTAGATCCCACTTGATGGAAGAGTGTCCAAGATGTTGCCGGCGTATTTTAAAACCACCAACCTGTGATAGAACAAGACAAATGAGAAAGGACTCAAGAGAATCTAATTTTTTGGATGTGCAGGCTGACAAAGAAGAAAAGGTAGTTGTTCAAACTTGTCACTCAAGGCACGAATTCTTAGTCTTTGAGATTGTTACTCACAGTCAACTCTTTTTTTTTTTTTTTTGTAAGATAATACCCTTCCTTGATTGCCAGTGGTTTTCTTTTTTGATGGTTAGACTGTTCGGTAAACAGGCTGGTATTATTTACATAACAGGAAACTGAAGGCGATCAGAGCATACCACCCAAAATATGCCACCTCGGCTTTGGCTTGGTCTGTCTTGGATGCTATAACGGAAAAGCGTAGCCTGGGTGGCTTTCGAGCAGCAGACTGCTCCTCACAGTCCCAGAGGCTATGGAAGTCCCAGATCGAGGCTCCAGCAGATTTGGTTTCTGGTGAGGGCCTGCTTCCCGGACGGCTGCCCTTTCACTGTGTCCTGGTGTGGTCGGAACATGGAGTTCATGCCCCACATGGAGGCAGCAAGGGGGCTTTCTGGGATCTCTTCCATGAGGGCACTAATCCCACTTGTAAGGGCCCCACCCTCATGACCCAATCACCTCCCCCCAAAGCCCCCACCTCCTAGTAGCTCCACACTGGGGTTAGATTTCAACATATGAACTCCGAGGAGAC